AGTATGAGATTTTTGTTGCAAGCGTACGTGAAATTGCAACAAATCGGTTGACAAACGTTGAAAATTTCCCTTAGAGTCAATGTTTTATTATATATGCAATAATTTGTTTTACCATCGATTCTCGCCGTGATAAGCAACGAAGGAGATCAATAAAAACATTTCGTGAAAGAAGAAAGACGTTGATCCGTGGGATTGCGTGCACGAAAAAACAGAGGAACAGTTCAACCGAATTTAGACGAATCGTTTTTGTCACAAATTTGTTCGGATTTATCCAGCGCGATCTAGAAAACGAAAAATAGCTGGAAACTTTTAATTGACGAGTATTGTATCTTTTCAATCGGAAAACGAAAGAGATTCATACCTGGCAAATCGTAACTAAATAGTTTCAACATAATCTTATATTAATCCTTTTGAACGATTCTTTTAATAATTGTAAAATTTCAACAATCTTACAACAATCTTACGAGGGAAACGTGAATTCTTGTGCAAATTGCCAAACCGAGCGAGAGTTTACTGAATAGAAGCCTTCATTCAATTAAAAGTGAGAACGATATTAAGATCACGGAGAAATTATGTAAAACTCTGATTACCACTAACCGTCATCATTAACTTCGTAATTAAAATACAGATCATCGCACACCCTGCAATTATGGCGATGTTCATTTGTCTCATCCTTAAATTAAAAAACGAGATTCTTCGTTCTCGCTTACTTAATCGTCCACGTGATCAAATTATTTTTGCAAAATTATCTCACGATTCGTCAAAAAGTGTCATCACGGGGTTTCTTCAAACGTGTCAAAAAGTCTGTTCTATTATCTCCATAGTGATCCTCGTTCGAGGAGCTCTTTGAAAAGGCTCCGTGAGTTTTGTCGATCGCACTGCTACCAGCGAAGATCGTTCAAACTATTTTCTGTGTGAAAACAGTACTATCGAAAAATGTTCGTTCAAAAGTCGTTCTGGCTTCGTCCGTCTACAGATTTAATGCTCGCGTAAGACATCGTAATTATTTTTACTTAGCGCCTCGCATCTTCTTTCTCTGGCTGAACGCGATCACAACAAAACTGTATCGAGAAATAACTCGACTAACTGCGTAGTTCATTTAATTTTCCAAAAAAAAAAAGTGTAGGGAGAGACTTGAGCGCGAGATGGGTCGATCGATCGATCGTTATGATCGGTCGCTGAATTTGGCGGGCGATCGTGACAATTGTTACGCGTGGCTCACGGGCAACGTCATCGTTGTATCGCAACAAAGGCACGCTGGCTCACTTTCATCACGCGAGAAAATAAGAAACGAAGGATACACCTGACTGGGTAGCAAATAGTGCTTAACAAGCGAGGAATCGCAGTGTCGAGGCAGTGGTTTTTAATTATTATTACATCACGCGACTTGCCACTCGTCGAATTTGCACACTCTTCTTGCCAGACCTTTTTACATCGCGAATCTTCTGTTCCTCAACTGTTGCGTTTCTTCGGCAAATACGTCGAATTCTGGTTTCTGAGATACGCGTTTCTTGGAATGAGAATAATAAAACACGATCGTGAGTATTGCTTTTATATCAAGGCGGAAAACCACGCTTTAATATGCTAGTTTCATGTATAATGAAATTTAATCACCGATCCGCAAGGTTGTTTATTGGCCAAGATTTCCTTCTGTTTTTCTCAGCCAGCTGATGTGTTTTTCTCGTAACGACATTGTTCACGTCGCAGAGATATTATTTGTACGTGCATTGAAATTAACATTCCATTGCGACGCAACCTTGAATTTGGCTTCTTTCCTTTTTCATTTTTTTTTTT